TCTTTATTGAAAAAAAACAACAACTGTTTTTGTAGTTACTCAGTAGCATTTATTCTATATCTGATATTTGTATATCATTTTCCTTGATACTGTGGGAGAAATAAATCGAGGACAGGAATTAGTTGATCTGAATTTACATTCTAAGAGCAGAAATACTATACTCTTTTGTATATGTGGACATTTACAAATGCTGTGTTTATCTTAACACTGTTGGAGAATAAACTCTTTTTTTTTTTTTTTTTTTTTTTTGGAAAAAATTTTTTTTTTTCAACGTTTATTTATTTTTGGGACAGAGAGAGACAGAGCATGAACAGGGGAGGGGCAGAGAGAGAGGAAGACACAGAATCGGAAACAGGCTCCAGGCTCTGAGCCATCAGCCCAGAGCCCGACGCGGGGCTCGAACTCACGGACCGCGAGATCGTGACCTGGCTGAAGTCGGACGCTTAACCGACTGCGCCACCCAGGCGCCCCGAATAAACTCTTTTTTAAAGTATTTTTTTAAAGAGAAATAGAGAGTGAGCTGGGGAGGGGAGGGAGGGAGACAGAGAGTCCCAAGCAGGCTTCACACTGTCAGTGCAGAGCCCAGTGCTGGACTCTAACTCATGAACTGTGAGATCATGACCTGAGCTGAAACCAAGAGTTGGGACACTTAACTGACTGAGCCACCCAAGTGCCCTTAAACTCTTTTCTAATAGTAAGTAACCAAACTTACTCCTTTAAATGTCAGGGGGAATAAAGGAACCATTTTATTTTACAAGAGACTCTTTTCTGACATTTAAAATAGTGAATGTAATCAGAAAAAAAATTGTTTTTTAAGGACTCAGGACTATCATTTTATTTGTGTACTTTTGGTCTTCTGACCTCTATAGATTTATCATAACGCTTTTGATTTATCAGCAGTTTTGTTTTTCTTTTTCCCCTCATGTTTATGGATGGGAGAAATAGATATGTTGGAAGAGACCCTGGCCTACTGGTCTCCGCCTGGCCCACAGGAATGTTTTGGAGGTCTCCCAGAGCAGGAGGGCCAGTGTGAGGGTTGGTAAGGGGAGAGAATGAATGCAAAGCTTTTGCCTTGGTGGTTGGAGAATCTTTTCCTGATTGTTTCCTGGTTATTGTTAGATGTGAATCTCAGTGGAGCAGCCTGATAAAGGCAAGCGACCCTGGGTACCTGGGGACCACCAGTGGCCCCTTAACCTGTCGAAATAAAAGTGGACCATTCGGTGGAGGAGAGGTTGTGTTCTTTCTTTTTCTGTCAGTGAACTAGACTTTGGAGATTACTATGAAATTATACTGGATAAAAAATTGGACAGGTGTCACTTGAAAATACCAGTACCAGTGGAACAGTAAGTGACAGGCTAGAGTTTAAGCTTACTTGCCCTTTTCAAACTGGGAATGTCATGTACTTGGTATACAGAAAGAATATTTTGGAACACAGTGTGTCATACCTCTGTGATTCTTTACATGAAAAGCAAGACATGACATGAGAATCTTTTGAAGCTGATAAAGAAAATATATTCCATATGAACAAAGATACTTTGGTGCAGGGCAAGGTGATGATCCCCAGATCTTGCCATATTAACTGCCTCTAGGTGGGCTTTGAGGAACCACAACCATTGACATTGATGTTGGACCTTTTCAAGATAGTGTCTACCTCTTTCACAGAGTCTTCTGCAGGGTGAGAACATTCTTCTAGTTCCAGATATGGGAACTAGATATAGTCCCAGTTGTGGCAAATGATGAGATTTCTAGGCTTGCTTCCAAATCATGAAGGCAGAGAGGGAACACCATTTTCTTTGTTAGAAACCCAGGATCAAGAGGATTTAGGGTTCATTAAAAAAAAAGGAAAAAAATGAAAGGAGATGGGGAGGCTAATCTGAACTTTCATGTGTTGGTTGCATACCAGTGTAGAAACACTCAAAGATTATGCAAGGATATCAGAGCTGCAGCCATGAAGCCAGACATGGAGATGCTCATGTGCATCATCTGTCAGGAGTTGCTGCATAACTATGTGAGATTGCAGGCCTGGAGTGCTTTTATTATCTGATGATACAATCCTTGAAAACACCATATTGTCTTACTATTGGCCTGGGAAGTTTCCACAAGTTGACATATCAATATTGTCAGAACAGTCCTGCTTCCCAGTTGCCAGTGGCTATACCATCTTATCCTGATTTCTGTTGGGGCCACAACTGCTGTACTCATTCAGTACAATTTCATGTGGTGAAATTTAGTCATATTGGCAAACAGATGATGTTCAAGAACTAAGTGTAAGGGATGGAACCAAGATGGGCTTTGGAATAATGGAGGTCATTGACAGGGTGTTTCAAAAACTATCCAGTCTTAGGATCATTTTTATAGTGCCTATCTCAAGGAAAACTGGGGATCTCTACATTAGGTACCCTAGTGCAAATTTTTTTTGGTGGAGCTTTTCCTCTGATTGAGACTTCCTAGTGACCACATCTTCCTATTGTGTAAGTTGAATTATTACTACATCTAGCCTAAAGCTTGAAAGGGTATGTTCTTGACCACAGCTGTGGAACAGGTACACAGGGGGCTAGGAGGTTGTGGGCATCGGGCATCCCCTTTTTTGGTTAGTTGGGTCTTGGCCTGATGCATCACCATAACTGAGAGCTCTTAACCTTTCTTTTCCTCAGCTACAAGTCACAACTATTGTGCTTCTCATTTTATTTTATTCTTTCCCTGCTTTCCTGTGATTGATGCCTTTGAGACCCCATGTTGTGGGGCACATGGGTGAGTGCGGCGCAGGTATGGCAGGCCAAGGTTTGGCGTGCTGGCGTGTGTGTGTGGTGGTGCTTCTGGCTCGTGATATTCTAGTCTTATTGTGTGCATTCAGGCGGAGACCCTGGAGAGTGTGTGAATGGTGCATGAGGGGCTACTTTCAGTTGCTGTGACGCTGGAAGCTGTCTATATGTATGGCTTTTGCTTCCTCTAGTTCTTATCCTTGTCTTTTTTTTCTGTTAGATTTGCTGTGTCATCTGGGGTGGTATTAGGATTTTTTTAATTTTTAGTAAGCTCCATGCCAAACATGAGGCTTGAACTAACGACCCTTAGATCAAGAGTTGCATGCTTTACTGACTGAGCTAGCCAGATGCCCCAGTAATTTTATTTTTGAAAAAAAATTTTTTTTTTGTTGGGGTGCCTGGGAAGCTCAGTTGGTTGAGCGTCCAACTCTTGATTTCAGCTCAGGTCACCATCCCAGGGTCATGGGATTGAGCTGAGCCCCATGTCACACTCTGTCCTGGGTGTGGAGCCTGCTTCAGATTGTTTTTCTCCTCCTCTGCCTCTCTCCCTTGCATACATTCTGTCTCTAAAATAAAAAAAAAAAAATTAAAATAACGCTTACAAAGAAAGGCTTTTTGTTGAAATAATGTTAATGTTTGTTAGTAAAGCTTGTAACTTTTTGCTTCTTCTCAGGAAAATAATTTTCAGCTTTTGTCTTGCTCATGATGCAAGCTCTTGCCCATGATGCAAACTCTGAGAAGCAGCACTGTATTTGTGGAAGAAAGTCCTTTTTTGTATTACAGTAAACAATCTGTATTTGTTTAAAAAAAATTCTATTTAAAGTAAGCATAAAAACATTGAGTAAGAGCATGCTGTCCTCTGACTGAAATAAATTTGAGCGAATGGACCCCAGCATTTATTTCAGCTATTTAAAGTTTTTTTCCCACAGTCTCAAATTACTCTGATTAAAGTTGTTACATGAATGACTTCAGTGTTGATACTCATCTAACAACATAGGTGTTACTATCTCATTTAAAAAACATTCCTATGAATATGTTAGTGATAAAATATACATACATATGAGAAAACAAGGGAAGAAAATTGAATAAAAAAACTACAGTTACATGAACATATATAATGGAGTTTATCGTGATGGGAGATACGGGGATATGATATATTAATGATTACAACCTTGTCTATTTTATATCAAGGTATTTGCATTTTGGGTGGGGTAAATCAGTCAAAAGTAGATGATCAGATAAAAGTATATTTCTAGATTATATATAATACAGGGAATGGCATTGAGTATATAATATTGAAAATGGCACTTTTATTTTTTTTAATTATTTTTTTTTAATGTTTATTTATGAGAGAGGGAGAGAGATAGAGCATGAATGAGGGAGGGACAGAGAGGGAGACACAAAATCCAAAGTAGGCTACAGGCTCTGAACTGTCAGTGCAGAGCCCGTTGTAGGGCTTGAACTCATGGACCATTAGATCATGACCTGAGCTGAAGTCGGACGCTTAACCAATGGAGCCACCCAGGCGCCCCTAAAAAATGGCACTTTTATTAAGTGACCTGCTGTAATTATTAAACTGCAGTGCTTCCCCAGTGGAAGGGGGAGAAATTTTGTTTCGGGAGGTGGTGAGTTTCTACATTTCTAGTGTTGTAAAAGTTTTGATTTTTTTTTTTTTTAATTTTAGATAGAGTGCATGAGTGGGAAGGGGACAGAGAAGGGGAGAGAGAGAGAGAAAGAGAAAAAGACAGAGACAGAGACAGACAGAGAAAATTCTTGCTCAGCTTGGAGTCTGACATGGGGCTTGATCCCATGACCCTGGGATCATGACCTGAGCCAAAATCAGGAGTTGGATGCCTGACTGGGCCATCCAGGCACTCCTTTTACTATATTTTTTAAAGTAATCTCCATGCCTGATATGGGGCTCAAACTCATAACTTCAAGATCAAGAGTCACACACTAGTGACTGAGCCAGCCAGGTGCCCCAAGTATATTTTCTTTCTTTCTTTCTTTCTTTCTTTCTTTCTTTCTTTCTTTCTTTCTTTCTTTCTTTCTTTCTTTCATTTTTTTTAAAACAGGAAGAAATAACATTTAATTTCATATGTATGGGAGATGCATGAAGACATGAAATTCCTTAGGTAGAATTCTTTATTTACCCTGTGTGTGTATTTGGTCTTTGTCTAGAGAGAATCGTCATTCAGGAGGAAATAATCCAGGAAAAGGAAGAACAAGCAGATCAAGATGTGTAGCTCTGTGGCGGCCAAGTTGTGGTTTTTGACCGATCGTCGAATCAGGGAAGACTATCCCCAAAAAGAGATTTTACGAGCATTAAAGGCCAAATGTTGTGAGGAGGAACTGGACTTCAGGGCTGTGGTGATGGATGAAGTAGTACTGACAATCGAGCAAGGAAACTTGGGTAAGTCTATACTAAATAATTTTATGGATTTTTTTTCTTAGAATATGTTGAATCCACATTTTCTAGGAATAATTTGGATGAAGGAATTGTTAATAGCTTTACATTACAATCATCTGATCTTAAAATATAGCATATTTTATGGAAGAAATGGAAACCCCGGAATTAATTGAACCTCTTATGTTATTTTTATTTTAATGTTTATTTTTGAGAGAGAGACACACATGCACAGAGCGTGAGTGAGGGAGGGGTAGAGAGCGAGGGAAACACAGAATCCGAAGCAGGCTCTAGGCTCTGAGCTGTCAGCACAGAGCCCGACGCGGGGCTCGAACTCACGAACCGTGAGATCATGACTGGAGCCAAAGTCCATGACCTGAGCTGAAGATGGACGCAAAACCGACTGAGCCACTCAGGTGACCTGAATATCTTAAGATATTATTTAGGAAATAGTTGGGAGAGAAATTAAAGAAAATCTACTTGTTTTTCCCCATTATTACTGTCTTCTAATTTTAAAGGTGCCCCTGAGAGAACTTGTACTTCATGGGATAATTCAGTAATGAATTTAGTAAATTCATCAAATTCCACATGTGATTCTTATTTTCTTTTTTTCTAAAAACTTCAGAATATTGACTACTTTTTAAAAAATGTTTAGGGGCGCCTGGGTGGCGCAGTCGGTTAAGCGTCCGACTTCAGCCAGGTCACGATCTCGCGGTCCGTGAGTTTGAGCCCCGCGTCAGGCTCTGGGCTGATGGCTCAGAGCCCGGAGCCTGTTTCCGATTCTGTGTCTCCCTCTCTCTCTGCCCCTCCCCTGTTCATGCTCTGTCTCTCTCTGTCCCAAAAATAAATAAAAAAATGTTGAAAAAAAAATTAAAAAAAAAATGTTTATTTCTTTATTTTGAAAGAGAGAGAGAAGGAGAATGTGAGTAGGGGAGGGGCAGAGAGGAGAGAATCCCAAGCAGGCTCCATGTTGCCACCGCAGAGACCAACGCTAGGCTCAGTGTCTCACAAACCGTGAAATTATGACCTGAGCTGAAATCAAGACTTGGATGCCCAACCGATTGAGCCACCCAGGCATTCCTTTTCTTTGTTTATAAAATATTTTATACATATAGTGTATAATATACCGTTTGTTTCTCTTCACTGGATAAAAGTGTCTGAATAATTTGACTCAGTTGGTGATAAGTCTAGTATTTCTAATTCTGTATTTCATATTTGTTTTAGGGTTACAAGAGGATATCTTAGAAACAGAATTCTTTAGGACTGACTTAGGAATCTTTACGTCTTTACTCTGGAAAGTTATGACTTGTAGGTCATTTCTGTTAGGGAGCATTATATGGTGGCATATACGTGCCATTTTGGATTAACTTTTAGAAGACTAGACATAGTTTAGTGATAGTATTCAGTAAAGATATGAGACAAACACTTAAAACAGATTCTATGTTACTTAACTTGCTTCGAGACTATAATCATAATGAGAACATGTGTTTTCATCAAAAAAATGGGGGGAGGTGGTTATTGTGAGAACTAATAATATACAGAATATAAATCTGCTATTAGGGTAATTTCATTTGTAGGCTAGTTAATAGATCCCAGAGTCTTGCCTGATGAATAACATGATCCTGTAGATTTAAGTAGGTAAAATCTCTTAGCAAACAGTTGCTCTTTACTCTCTGTCCTTTAACATTTATTCCATTCACTTTACCTTTTTACAGTTATTGTTGCTTTGGAAATAACTTCTTTAGAACTGAACTGTTTCCAGATTGTTTCACTGGAGTGTTTTAGTTACTACCTTTATAAGAAAGATGCACATTATTTTATTTTTGGTCAACTTTTCTTTTTTTTAAATGTATATACATAGGTCCAACACTTATTCAGATTCTGGATTTGGGATAGAGCCTGTTTCATTCTTTCATAAATATAATTTGAGCACTTACTATGTGCTAATTAATTGGTATGGTATGCAAAATGAGACATAGTCCCTATATTCTAAAGGCCAAGATTAACATTAACATCAATCAAGTGATCACACATATTAGTGTAAAATCATTATAACTTTGGTAAATTATAAAAGGAATGGATATCAGTTTGCACCCCCCTGCCCTCTAGCTAGCTATGACAGATACATCCTGAACAAATCCGGGCAAATCTTTTCTTTGAAATTCAGAATCTATCACATGCTTTTATAACTTGCAGGTTTTTCAACAAAATTGCATATACAATTGTTGAAATTGGAGTCAGAAATCTGGACAGAGTATTGTGTTAGGAGCCGTGCTCTTGAAGTATGTGTGAGAAGGCCAGTGTACATAGGTCACTAAACACATAAACTGCAGGCTTATGGTGTATGTCTCTGTTTTAAAGGTTGGAAAACCAAAGGCTGCCTTTCCAACAGTCCTCTGAAGTCAGGGTTTCTTATTAGACCAAGCTTCTGTCACATAGACCTATTACTACAAGATGTGGGAAATGCAAATGGACATCTCTGTTCTAATACCTTCCATAGGTTGAAAAATATCTAAGATTGGGGTACCTGGGTGGCTTGGTCCATTGAGCGTCCGACTTTGGCTCAGGTCATGATCTCACGGTTCATGAGTTCAAGCCCTTCGTCAGGCTCTGGTTTGACAGCTCAGAGCCTGGAGCCTGCATCAGATTCTGTGTCTCCCTCGCTGTCTGCCCCTCCCCTGCTCACACTCTGTCTCTCTTTGTCTCTCTCTATCTCAAAAATAAATAAACATTAAAATTTTTAAAAAAAATCTAAGATTGAAAACCATTGTTCTTCGTTTTTTGTTTCCTACTGGACACTCTTTGTTCTCAACTGTCACTTCAGGCCAGTAGGACAAGATTGAACTCACTTCTTCCCCACGAGGCTATCTTATTTCAGCCTTTTGGTTTGTATTTTGTCCTTTGCCCTGGTATTACCGTTAACATATCTTTTGTTTTAAACATGTAGTTTTTAAGTTTATTTACTTATATTTAGAGTAGGTATTTGAATAGAGATGTCCATTGCATTTGCCACATCTTGTAGTAAGAGGTCTGTGAGAAGGGCGTAAGTGAGAGCAAGAGAGGAGCAGAGATAGGGGAGAGAATCCCAAGCAGACTCTGCCCTGTCAGTGCAGAGTTTAATGCAGGGCTCTATCCCACAAACCAAGAGTAGGACACTTAACTGACTCAGCCACATGTGTGCTTTTCTGTTTTATTCTTAAGAGCCATTTCTGCCACAAAATTTTCTTGCTTTTTCCTTCTAAATGACAGTTGTTCTGCTTTTCAGTATCCTAAGTCAAGCTGTTAATGGCCCCAAGTTTAAATGACTGCAACATTCCTATAGCCTATAGCTTGTTATCTTTCACTACAGTGTTTCCTCTCTAGCTCTTTCTCATTCATTAAACACCAGTTTTATCATCTTTCTAAAAACCTTCAGAAACCCTATTTCCAAGCACTGTTCAATCTATTTTATTTTTAAGGCTTATTTAAAAAAATAAATGAGTGGGGGGAGGGGCACAGAGAGAGACACACACAGAATCCCAAGCAGGCTCCAGGCTCTGAGCTGTCAGTACAGAGCCTGACGTGGAGCTCAAACCCACGAACCATGAGATCATGACCTGAGCTGAGGTCAGATGCTTAAGCAACTGAACTATCCAGGCGCTCCAGGGCTTTTTATTTTTTATTTGTATTATTTATTTATTTTTAAGATTAATGTATTTATTTTGGGGGGGGAGAGAGAGTGCGCGAGAGGGAGCAGGAGGGGCAGAGTGAGGGAGACAGAGGATCTGGAGAGGGCTCCTCACTGACAGCAGAGAGCCCAATGTGGGGCTCAAACTCATGAATGTGAGGTCATGACTTGAGCCAGTTTACTAAGCATACTTTTCCATGTCCACTGTTTATAGCATAAATGTTACCACATGCGCAACAATAAGACCCAGCTTCACAGCCGGTAGGATGCTCTAATGAAAAAGAGACAACATGTGTTGGCAAGAATATAGAGAAATTGGAATTCTCTTGCATTGCTAATGGGAATGTAAAATGGTGCAGTCCCTTTGGAAAACAGTTTGGCAGTTTCTCTAAAGGTTAAACATACAGCTACCATAGGATCCATCCCACTCCTGCATGGAATGACAACGTATGTTTGGAAGAATTCACCAGTGAAAACATCTGGTTCTGAGCTTTTCCTTGTTCGGAGACTTTGGATTACTGATTTAATAGGTCTGTTCAGATTTTTTATTTCTCAGTGATTCAATTTTAGTAGGTTGTAGGTTTCTAGGAATTTATTCATTTTTTCTAGGTTATCCAATTTGTTGGTGTGTAATTGTTCATAGTTGTCTCATGATTACTTTTATTTTTTTGGTGACCATTGTAACATTTTCTTTCATTTCTGATTTCTTATTTAAGTCTCTTTCTTTCCCTTTTTAGTCTAGCAAAGGGTTTGTTAATTTATTAATCTTTCCAAAAATCCAAGTTAGTTTTGTTGATTTTTATTTTATTTTTCTCTTTTTTATTTTGGTTATTTGTGTTCTAATTTATTTTTTTAGTTAATTTTTTCTTGAAAGAGAATGCAAACGGG